GGAGATCCGTTATTCCATTGAAAGGTCGTCGATATCCGTGATGCTTGCCTTTAAAAAAAATTGACAGGCGAAATGAAATACGTCATTGTCGATAGCGATATTTCATAGTTCCGGACGATCGATTCCGATGCAAAATTCCAACGAGAGACATCATCCCTTTCGCGACGTCGTTCCAACTGCAAATTAAAGGCGTTTAAAACTACGCCAGATGCCACCCCTCCTCGAAAATATTCGCCACTTGCGTTTTCGACATTCCTGAAACTCGCTCGTACGCAAACAGCAATTCGGATTCTTATGGTCGCATCGCGCGTGAACTTAATTACGCGGTTCGCCACGAAAAGATCTTTGCTAAGTGAATTTCTTTAAATGGTCAAGCCGCAGTCGTAATCCGCTTGGCGTTTTCTTAAGTTCGCAAACCCAGCGCGGGAAAAGGAGCACCACGTGGAAGCTGCGGTTGCGTTCGAATAATTAGCGAGATAGGATACTTACCTAAGTATCCACAGTAGGCCGAGAGAGAATCTTGGGAGACGGCGGTGAGGAGACTCCACGGTTGGCTGCCGCTCGGGTCTGTAATTTCGATAATTATGGGTTAATGCGTTTAGCCACGTAGTGGCACACGTAGCAGGAACATGATTCCAGGCGTACGTGAGATACCTGCAAATTAATTAAACGATTACCGTATTCGGCCAAATAACACATAATTGTTCAATTGTTACATGCTTATCGCAGATGTATAAATTTCCGCGCAACTCAAATAAGTCACGAATCTCATTCACTCTTGCTGAAACTGCAATACAAAAATTTGCACGATAACCTTAACGAGAACTATGTAAATTAGCATAAATAATTAGTATAAAAATACCCACGTGGCTGTTATTAAATTCAAGCCATTAAATAAAGCATTAAAATAAAACCATCCGTTACTAGTCCGTTTATTGCCTGTCTGTTACTACTGGCTGTTATACTACTAGCTGTCTATTACTACTACTCGTTTACGTCACTCGTTATCGGCAATCGTTGTACAACGATTGATATGCGACGGCGCGCGTTGCGCTAATTTACGAAAATAGCCGGAGCGAGAAAATCCGCAGTGTATAACAAAATGTTTACGTAAGAAGTTGCGTCAACACGCGCTTAAGTTCTGACGGCGTCGCTCCTTAAGAGCTTTCCATCGCGAGCAAGGAGCTTTCCTTTATGATGAAACAATATCGTACGTCGCCTTTTTCAGCCACCCGCATTTCTTCCGTTCCACCAGCGACCTCGTCTCGCCCACTCATGGTTTTCGTCGCCTCCGCCCCCATCTGCATTCCTAGTCCCAACGAGCCGCAAAGGAATTCCAATTTTAAACAAAAGTTTCCTGACGGCAGTAACCTCTCTGGTCCCCACTCTCCTTCGCATCTTCTACCTTCTCTGCTGTCGACATCGCGGATTCTAGGCGCGCGTTCATGCATGGCCCCAACCATGAGCTAGGCACATCGCTTCTTTGTCTACTAACATGTTTCGTTCGTGCCTCCTCCGCCCATTACGGAAATTCTGTTGCTTCTTCGCCGGGCAAATTTTTTCCATTTTACGATCACGAAATTGTTCCATTTTTCTTCGTGTCATATATATCTCGCGATAGCACAGTTTTGTAATGTAATTTATTTATATAGATAGAGGAAAGGTTTAATTATTCGCATTCGTACGGATAAATAATATCCTAACTTTAGTATAAGAGCTTTAAAAAATGGATAACGTTCATCTTTCGAGCGTATCGTCCCCGGATATACATATACTTCCCGGATATACTTCAGCCGGTTAAAGAAAGCAAGAAAGATGGAAGACATGAAGAGGAATCGCGACATAACATGCACAGCGTGTATCGAGCCTTCTCCGCTTTTTCTCGGATCGTTCCCATTTTAATGCCCTTCTCCACGTCTGCGGATCGTCGCGGGTAAAAAAAGCGCGAGCTGCCGACGGGGAAAATCGTAGCAAGGGCGACGATAAACAAACGCTAATCCATAAATCCTCTTGCAAACGGCAGAAAGCACGCGCAATATACGTATCGCCGACTCGAGACGTACATCAACGCTGCGTCTGCTGCAATATCGATAAAACATTGATCCGGCATTCGTGCCTGAAGTCTCTTGTATAGGATTCGCAATGCCGTTAGGCATCCCCCCGCGCCACGTCGCGTCGAGCCGAGCCGAGCCGGGCCGCGCCGTTCACAGATATACCGAACGCGCTTGCATACAGAACGCTATACCACCGTTTCGACGAGATTATATCCGACTCTCTGCATGCGTGCACCCGCTGCGCCCATTGGGTGCACACGTACGCGTCTGCCGGTATCGTGATCTACACGCGAATCACGAAAGCTCCGCGCATAATTCGACGCTAATGGTATTTGGGTCGGGCCGCGAGACCGATCTTCCAGTAACCAATCATCGTGGTAAAATCCGTATGATTATTTGAAAAAAGTGGCTCTCTCTCTTCCTCCCTTACGTACACCGACATACACACATATATATGTATGCGCGATTTAGGAGAAGTCGAGTTTTCTTGGAAATCGTGATTTCCTAACGTATATATATACGAGATAAAATAACTTACGAACATATAATTTCCGCTCTAATCGAAATAAAGTAAATGCAAACTGAATCAATGGCAAGATATAAAGTTACTCGACGTTACAGATTGCAAAACACACAAGTAGACATTTTTAATGCTAGATCACTATTGTCTATAGTCGACGTTTGCGTCATACAATTGCAAATGTCTCATGGTGTCGTATGATTCGTTCATACTCCGTTTGACGACCGATTAATATTTTCTCGGTTGCACGGTTTCGCTGATCGCGATTGCCCTAGCCCGGCTCTATCTGGCAGATCAAAGCACGCGAAATCAGGGAGCGTCTGCATTATCCGGGGCGATGGCGCTTAACGTTGCGCACCGTCGCGAATTTCGATGACCTATCCTACCAGCTAATACCCGCTTCTTGCCGGATCAAAGTGCGTATTTCCGTCGGGCAATGAATTGGCAAGCCCGTCTCTGAAGATGATGGTACTGTAATTATAAGGTTGACGGCAACGGAGCGCGAAAGGACGAGGAGGATCGATGACGATGGACCGGTGAGAGGAACGGAAAAGGGAGAGGAATAGGGTTGCGATGGAGAACGCGGCGAGATGAACGGCGGCTCAAACATCGCGGCGCAAAATTCACAATCTAATCCAACTAAGCAAATTACTCCCCAACTTCCTGGGCGACAGCTACGCACCCTGTCCCTTCGCCCTGCGCATTCCCCGGCAACTTAGATCAAAGGGAACCGGTGTCCTACGCGCGGGAATATCGCGCCCGACAACGTTTCATCTCACGGCGCCCGTACTTCCGGCGCCTCTTTTCCTCCACCCTGACCGTTTCACGGACGACGTTAAACTTGTATGGAGCACGGCTTGGTTGGGCGCGATTGAACGCGCTCGACCGTTCCGCGATCGCGATCGAAGCAGACGCTCGTGTAACGAACGCATCGAAATGCATAGCTTGTCGTACGCAGCGATATATGACGCGAGTTTAATGCGACCAAACTCGAATCATCAATTTGATTACTGATTTCGCAGCTTTTGATTCTATATGTTGTCAAAATATCTGTTGGAATTGCCATATATTATTGTTATACATAGCTGAACACATTATGCTAATGTATCAACTCTCTAGAAAATCATTACAGTCTACTTATGTATACACACAATCGCAAAGCCGATGTATATGCGTCCGAATTACTTCAGCCGTGTAAATTACGAAGTGGAAAATCATATCGGAATAATTGGATCGCCTGAGTATATCTGTACGATTAGGCTACAAATCCGAACAGCTTTTCGATCATGTGTACCATTTAGAGACGGTGAGCTTGCAATCGTACTCGCTTCTAGCTGAATAGCACTTGCGAGATAGAGAGATGGCTGGAATCGACGTCGCCAGATCGCCGGATCGCCGGCGGGTAGGGAGGTACGAGGAAAGGTAACACTTCCGGAACGCAATATCATTCGGAGCGAAGCGGACCGTAATTCCCACTTGCTTGGTCTTCGGAGGCGAGGCAGCAGAAGCTGCGTCTGTTGATTATCCGGCTGGTAAACACGGCGCATTGTTATCGATTGGGCCAACAATCTGCCGCCCCCATATTGACGCAATACTGCCTCGCAGTTGCATAATGAATGGTTGGCTAATGACCCTACGGAGCTTGCGGAAACCGCTGCGAGAGGATGACGGGGCGGGCGGGGGCCTGGGAGTCGAGCCACTTCCGGCATTAAACATGCACCACCCCGCCACGAACGAGTTATCCGAGACATTTATCCCGCGTTTGAGAGTTGCCTGACATACCATTTATCATATGCCGAGATATAAAAAACTAAAAAAATATAAAATTAAATTAATTTTTTATTTCTGCATCGGCTACGCGTTGACATATACTTATATTTAATTTTTAACAACAACAACAATCCATTAAAAATATTATATATTCGATATTTTTAATGATAGGTAATTTAAAATAATATGTGGTTTCGCGAAAAAATTTAAATTTATTTTTTCATTTATTTTTCTTTTCTTTTCTGTTCTTTTAGAATTATACGCTTGATGTTGAATATGAAAAATATTACATATTAAAATTATCTTTCTGTAGATTACTACATGGCGTGTGGAAGCAACACGGACATCTGAAATAAAACGCGAGTCGCTTTGCATACATATCTAGTCAAGCATTCCTGCGGTGCTTTCTAAGAAACAACTGCGTTAATCTTCGAGCACCGCATAAATTGAGATTTATCTGTACTTTTGTAATTATTAAATGTTTGTGTCATTGCGCATATAATTGAATAAATGTTAAAGTAACAAATTGCTTAGAACAGAAATGATTGCAAGCTGTTACTTTTACTTTATGATACAGTAAACGGTATTGTTTCAAGTAAATTAACTACGCTGTGTTAGTTACAGTCAATAATAACCTTATTATTTCTTATTTTCAGCTCTGCTGAACACGCGGACGCTAATAAGCAAATTCTGACCACTAGTCTGACGTGTCACTGTAAGTACCTAACGTTTAATGTATCTATGTATATAGATATTGGCATTTAGTTCTAGAAATTAAAGATTTTTTTTTTTAGTCAACCCTACGAAAATATAAACAGAATAACGGCGTTCGCAGTTGATTTAATTACAATGAATTCCAATAATCAGAACTGCGCTTAATAAAGAGCTTCTCATTTCGACGCATAAAGAAATCCGAATTGAGTTTCATCGTGCAGAGAGATTCTTTTACCCTCGTACCGCGACACAGCGAGACTTTCTTCGTATTTTTGTCGCGTGAATTATTCCTTTCTCGCGGGGGCTCAACGTCGTCTGCACCGTTACGCAACTTGTACTTTAGTACATCCCGACTGTGATTCTTTTGTAGCGGTAGCCGGCTTTCCGTCACTTTGCACGGTTTGCGTCGCGGAGAGATGGTGAAACGTTAGACGAGGGTCGCGACTTTCGCATGAAACTTCCTCCACTTTTGTCCCCGGCTGACGCCATAACGACTCTAATCTCCTTACGCTTCAAGCTGTTTTTGCCGACCAAACGAAAGTGCTTACGGCGTTGACCAGTCGGGTAAGAGACTTACAATTTACTTCTATCTAAGAAGCTTTGCAGGACGCCCAGAATGTTGTCGCTATTCTGGGCTTTATTTAATGTTCATGTCATTTTACATTTGCGCTACGACGCGAGTTTATCCCGGCATCCGCCGGTGTTATTTTTTGCAAAAGCGTTCCGGTGAATGCTCTAATGCCGGAAAGAAGTAAGAGAAAAAAATTGTAGAATTTTTTTGAAGCGACGGAATTAAGATGGTGTAAAAGCGCGCATGGTGGAAGCATTTAGTCGCGATTGAAGAACAGAAAGATATAAATCCTCATGTGACAATTCTATCGCATAGTTTCGTCAATTTTATAATAATATTATAAATGTATATATAATATTATAATATGCATTGTAAAGAACAACTTCTTATTCTCGTACAACTGTGCGAATGAGTATTGAGAGTTACATCCATGATTAGTGCACAGAGTGTGTTCCTAAAATGTTTAATCCAACTTCAACAGTGCGTTCTACTAAACAAAATAATGAGAAAAGTTCATATAAACGAACTACCATCAAACGCTAACTTTTATTTACTTTTGTTGGCTAGCTTTTTAATTTGAGTGATCGGGGCGATTTGTAATTAGAAGTATTCCTAGGATGTATTTGCTAAGAAAAGTTACATTTGAAATATCTATTCGGCCTTTCTATGCGCTGCTATTCGCAGTAATTTGTATATATTCGTTTTTTCACGAACTTATGTCACTTTGTTTAGCACAATTGCAAATTAGAGCAAGCATGATAAATCATTTATGCGTGCCAATTGTTCATAATTGCAAAATATAATTTGCAATCTTAATTTTATCCGTATTAGAGAGAGAATCACATGGTTTAATGTAATAATAAGCAAGAGAGAAATAATCTTTAATGATGTTACTTAAATCTCATTGTTGCAACGTGTGCATAAGATATGCACAATTCCGATATGAATCTGGGTAGAATGCATTGAATGTTTTAGATGGCGAGAGTGCATTAAACGGCCCGTAAAATTTCCTCGCGGAAATCTACCAACACGTGCGGAATTTCGTTTCTATTTATAGCTTATTCTCTTCTACGGGGTTGTAGAACGTTTCAGAACATTTCACGGATGTAGTGTTGAATGAATCATCCCGCGTTCCTACGCATGACACCCCAGGGGCTTTCGAAGGACAATCCAATTTCTACGACTAGTCTTTCGTTTCAAGAATGTTGTTTTCTGCAGGTCGGAAAAGTGACAGTCTGAAAGTCTTGGGGACCTCGTGCTTTCTTTTTCGACGATATCAGATAGATTTTGTCTTTTTATCGAACTCTATGTATCTCTGTATGTATTAAAAAGTCAAATGTTGCCTGTCTATTTTTGGTTGCATAATATTATTCCAATTTTTCTTAAACATACATATATACATATATGAATTATTTATCTTCGCTCATAAAACTTTATTACGCACATATAAAGCTTCGGGGTAAACCTACATCCGTATTTTCCGTTATCGTATTATGTTGCAATTATTGCAAAAATTAATTATTTCTCATGGGACTGGAAGTATTCGACTCATTGGGGAATCGTCATTCACATTTGGACGTTTATTTCAGTTGCGTCCGAGATAACAGCGTTGTAATTAAACAATAAATTTCACTTTGATTTACAATTTACTGATAATAAAGAAAGCTTAAAAAAAATTATGTTAAATTTATATTTATAATACTTAAAAAATTGGTATTATATATGCGTAATAGTGAAATAAAGAATGACTTCTGTCAATAATTGCTGTTTACACACAAACGTCTATACTTCACAATCGTAACTAACACACTGCAATTTGGCTGAACGTCGTGAGACAAATCTCCCACATTCGCGAGCCTACAAAAACAGATCAGGGTCGACGATTGCGCGACACGTAATCCCACCCGGAGAATCGTTAAATGGTTCGTGCGACTTCGTGTTAGTGAGAAACGACGTTCATCTAGCAGCATCCAACGGAGCCAAAGTGGGTTTACATCGCAGTTAAGTTTCATCGTAACGCCCCCGCGACGGTTGGATGCCGTGATGCTAAACCGCCTTTCCTGCAGTCAGTGACGACGTCGCATAGGGTGGATTTACCGACCATTTGGCAAATGAAGACGAAACTACATCGTAGATTACGGAGCAAGAGCGAGGCAGGAGTGTGGGACGCAATAGAGAGTATCGAGTACCTTAATGTATCTATCGTAGGATACCTACCTATCGGCAATAGTTAACCTGCATATTGCCGCGATTTCGATAAAAACGGAAATTCGCAATTGAGAATTTTATCAGTTTATACTGCGACCAGCGCGATACTCCTTGCTCATTGAAATAAGATATTTTTCCTCGAGATTGTATTTGCACCGATGCTCCGGTTATTTCGACATTCCGATTCCAAAGCACGATCACTTTCAAGATCGCGATGCACGCTGGCTACGTACGTATATTTGTAATTAAATAGAAGAGTCATTACCAAGAATAATTGAGCTTCAAAGAGTCGCTAACAATCGACTTTGTAATCACTGCAATCGAACGGAACGGTCGTTAGGATCCGATGCCTTCCTTCTCTGATCTCGAACGAGAACGTCTATAAACGGCGCGGCGATGGACCCGTTTGCTTTCTATCGACTGCTACTTTGAACTTTCGATAGCACTCAGTCTATGACACGTGGAAGCTCTCTTTCGAAGTAAATTAAACGGAAATCATTACCTTTCTCTCTCTCTCTCTTTCTCCTCTTATTCCGAGCGCATCTCTTTCGCCCTTTATCGTTGTTAGAGCTACGCGAGCATTACTCTTCATTTCGCGCACCGTTTTATTTGCAACAAGAAGTATATCTTTTTGTTGTTCAGCATAGAAAATCTTTGTTCATGACACAAAATATTAAATTATTAACAGATCAATCTCTGTTCATTGCCAAGAATAAAATGCTTCCGTATGAATCGTTATCCGACATAAATAGAGATTCATTTAAAATACATAAGATATTGATGGAATCATAAAATAAATTATTAATACACAGTCCTGACTAATGCTAACGAGCAAAAATATGCTCTCGGAATTTTAAAGGTGATACATCTATAATTTGTTTACAAAAAGATCTGAGTGCCACATACATGTGATGGTTATTCGATACTTGTGTGCCTGCTCACCGTGCTAAAAATTTCCGGGAAAATAAATACTGCTCTGATGCTGGAGCCACATTCGTGTCAATATATTCACGCCCTGGTGATGCCTCGCGGTTTTTCGATTTTGTCAGGGCAAACAAAATTTACGAGTAAATCGCTTCACTGTAATGTTATAATGCCATCCATCCTCATCGATTATCACCGCTTTTAATAACTTCTATCTCGTCTCCATGAATCATCATCAATCGCGCGACAGATTTTGAAATATATTTTAAACTCTTCTATCAGAAAGAGAGAGAAAGAAATGGCGAGTGAAGGGAGGCAGAGGGGGAGAAGAGAGAGAAAGGGAGAGAGAGAAAGAGAGAGAAGAGTCATCTAGAAACAGATTCATCTTAATCAACAAATTATTATATATAGAAAACATGACGCTAAAACATGACTAAGCTATAATATTTATGAACTAATAAATACAGAAATAAATTTATTTGGTAGAAATAATTTCTTCTGAAGTTTGCAACGTGTAAATTTTTTCGTCACAAAAAAATGTTTTCAGAAAATAAATGTTAAAGTAATTAATGGCAAGTATATATATGAAAAAATAAAGATATGTAATGTGATACTTTACATTTATTGACATGCAAATTCTCGTGAGTGGGGACTAAACAGCGGGAAAAGGACAATGCATATCGTTAATTCGTCGATATAAACGATCCACTTGATTGAGCAAGCAAGCTCATCTTCGTGAGAGATAACACCGGGCCGGGCACGATAGGTCGCGACAAAAGTTAACGAGATGGTGTTAATTAAATCCCGCACGGTCGATCGCGAGTGGGAAAATTTGACAATGGATGCGCCTACACGTTCTCGTTGGCGCATAGGATATACATATATGTATATACATATACATTATACATATATATACATATATACATATATATATATATATGCATATATATATTATACATATATACATACATTACACACATTACATGTACATACATATAGATATACAATATACGTCAGCTTGTCTATGCATCGACGCGCTACCACGACGGATCGGTCGGTGGGCACGGCCGGTGGTCGAACTCCGATGAATCGATGACCGCTTTTAGTAATGATGTGTACATGGCAGGCCATCCTCTCCCGATGGAACGCCGCGCCGGGGTCAACGCAGGACGCCGCGGCCGCACCGGAGGATCGTATGTAGTGGCAGCCGGAGTTTGCCGAGGGGGACTTATTACGTCCCTGGAATTACCATATAAATTATCGCGTGATGAACCCGCCGGAGTGCGAAACCGTGCACG